GGGGGGTGGAGACGAAAGCAGACGATAGAACATTGCTAGAGAGCAGGAAGGGAGGTGAAAGGAGACAATTTTAGAGTAGAACATTTTTTGGTTGCTACCCGGTTTCGAACCCAGGACCTTTGAATGAGAGGCCAACACCTTGACCTTTGAATGAGAGGCCAACACCTTGACCTTTGAATGAGAGGCCAACACCTTGACCTTTGAATGAGAGGCCAACACCTTGACCTTTGAATGAGAGGCGAACACCTTGACCTTTGAATGAGAGGCGAACACCTTGACCTTTGAATGAGAGGCGAACACCTTGACCTTTGAATGAGAGGCGAACACCTTGACCTCTAGGCCACGAGAGCCCCCTAGGAATGATTTACGTTCTGTGCTTGAGGCAACATCAACTAATTCAGTTGTCTTTTCTTTTTTTCTTCTTTGTGTACAGTGTAGTAGCCTTGCCTTCCAAAATTGCTTATTTTTGGGGACAGCTACACCATCCTACCCCCCCCCCCCCCTTGCACCCACATTCCAGGGTAAGCACAAAGTTTGTTCACCCCGCTACTGTCTGAGTGTCTGTCAACTAGGCCTGTCCACGTCATCACGTGAGTCTGGAGAACTGCTCACCTGTCTACTGGGCCGTGTTTTGTGGGCGCGCGTGTAAGGCTGGTGTTTAAATATAAGTATCTAGGTCAACTTTTCCATCTTTTAGATGCATGATGTTTATCGATCATCCATGTAACCCACTTTTTGATCCACTGTAGGCTAACATCAAATAAAACATGTCGCAACATGTATTGTTTGCTGCGGTTTTCATTAGTGGTTTTTTAAAAAGATTCTGTTGGGTCATTAAGCTCTGAGACCCGCGCGCCAAGATGCCATTTATTTTTATCCCGTTTTAACTGCGGGCAGACAAAAGGGAAGGACTTCCGGAACGAACGATCACCCAAACAAACACAATTAAGGAGAGACCTAAGCCAAACCCTAACCCTAACCCAAACCCTAACCCAAACCCAAACTCTAACCCTAACCCAAACCCTACCCCAAGCCCTACCCCTCTGTTCTACTCTGTCTCACCGTGGTCGGTCGTTACGGAAGTGAACACGCCTTGGGAAAAAATAGAACACCGAAGACGTCCATCTCTTTATCAAGGCGATGGAGCGAGGGGTACACGCTGAAAAGATACAAGATTAACAACAACAACAACAACAAGAGCAACAACAACAACAACAACAACAACAACAGCAACAGCAACAACAACAGCAACAGCAACAACAACAACAACAACAACAATAACAGCAACAACAATAACAACAACAACAACAACAACAA